GTTGTTGTTTTGTTGCTGTTGCTGTTGTTGTTGCTGTTGCTGTTGCTGCTGCTGCTGCCGCTGCTGCTGTTGCTGTTGTTGTTGTTGTTGTTGTTGTTGTTGTTGTTGTTGTTGTTGTTGTTGTTGTTGTTGTTGTTGAACACTATTACTTCTAAAGAATTATTATTGTTGGACCCCCTGGTGCACGCCCCCCGCCCAAAACCTAGGCCGCAGCTACATTTTCATCATTTTTCTTCGAAAGCTTCAGAAAAGTGGATTACCCCCGGATCCGGTTTTTTGTTGACGCTCGTTTTCCCTTGCAAAAAACAATAGAAAATGAAAATTCTTGTTCTTAGTTGATCAAATTTCAAGAATCCCTTGCAAAAAATAGGTAAAGTGGACATTCGCGCTCGCAAGACGAAATCCTTCCAAAACCTTAGGTTTCGTAACGATTTTAACATAAAAACATCAAAAACCCAATGGTTTTTTAAGAAAAAATTGTCACAATGTCCTTCCGCGCGCTCTTGCGGATTCATAGGAAACACACCACTTTTTAAACATTTCTGTCAAAAGGGTCTTTGCGTGCTACTTCTTCAGGTGCTTTGAACTTCTCCAACAACGGTTGCGCGCCTGCGAGGGCCACCATCCCTTGCAAAAAATGAGACGAATTGCACATGCGCGCGGCCGCCGCGCGCGCATGTCGAAATCCTGCCAAACACAATGGGTTTTCAATAATTTCAAGATGCGATGTTCAGAAAACATATGAAAACGCACTACTTTCTCATCCGAAAAATCTCGAATTCCATTCGCGGTCTCTTGATGAATCTTTAAAACCCAAGATGGCCCCAACAGGCGCGCAAGATGGCCCCAAGAGGCGTCCATGAGGCCCAAAGAGGCGCCCAAGATGGTCCCAAGAGGCTTCAAGAGGACTCCAAGAGGCCCCCAAGAGGTTCCAGAGAGGCTCCAAGGTGGCTCCAATAGACCCCCAAGATGGCCCCAGGAGGCGTTCTAGAGGCCCCAAGAGTCCGCCGTGAGGGTCCAATAAGCCCCCAAGAGGCCCCAAGATGGTTCCAAGGAACCCCCCAAAGGCTCTCAAGTGGACCCCAAACCGCGCCAGGAGGCTTCCCCCCTTCCCCAAGAGGACCCCAAGCGGCCCCAGGAAGGCCCCCGACTGCTGACGCACATATCCGTATCCATCTCGGATCAAGGTATCGCCTGTGTTCTTGGATCATGGCTTTGACGGCGAAAGACCTTCACGAGCAGTATGGCCCTGAGCTGTCGCGGCCTCCCTTGGCCGACTGCGAGAGTGCGTATTATTTGCATCAGCCGCTCCGGGCAAAGGGTATCAATGCTAGTCACCAGGCGTGCAAGACTTGGTGGGCCAAGTATCGGGTTGTGACTGGCACGGTCAGTATTTCTAGCGCCAAGGAGCTGGAGGAGCAGCACGGCTCTGCCATCCGCCACCTGGGCATTGAGTATAACCCCGAATTTGCCCCAAAAATGTGACCAACTATCTTGGCACTGCGTACCATCTCACGTGTACCGTGTACCACATCATATGTAACAGATGTGATCAACCTCTGTGGGTGTGTACCCCACGCCAGTGTAGTAGCCAGGGTCGTCCGCACGCCACGAAGTAAAGTGTCCCAACGTCATAGGGCGGGAAGCTGGGTGTGGGTGGTCTCGAAGAGTCGTTTGGATATTTGGTAGAGCTTGAACGGCCCCCCCACGAAGTGGGGGTATTGGCTGGTGTCGCAAGAAAACCCTGGCACTGGGGAGAACACTGAGCGTTCGGGTAAAATGATTGTTGTTGTTGTTGTTGTTGTTGTCGTGGTCGTCGTTGTCGTTTTCGCCGTCGTCATCGTCGTCTTCATCGTCGTCGTCGTCGTCCGGCGTCCGTCGTCCGTCGTCCGTCGGCGAAGCAGTGTCGAGCTCTCTTGGGCAGGCACGCCTTGCAGGCCAGGCCTGACGGGTTTCATCTACACATCTAGCGTGTGAAGCCTTCGGCGGCACAGCGTCTTGTGGATACGCTGCCCTCGTCGCGGTCGACGCCGCCGATGTTTTCGCCGGAACAAGAAAGAAACGGTTAAAACCTAGTCAAACCTGCTCCAAAATATGAAAACGTTGGTCTGTATGTTTCATTGTCATCCTCCTCCGCATCTCCCTCCTCCTCCTCCTCCTCCTCCTCCTCCTCCTCCTCCTCGTCCTCCTCCTCCTCCTCCTCCTCGGCCTCCGCCTCCGCCACACCTCCTTCCTTGCCTCCTCCTCCTCACTCCTCCTCCTCCTCTTCCTCCTCCTCCTCCTCCTCCTCCCCTCCTCCTCCTCTCCTCACCTCTCCTCCTCCTCCTCCTCCTCCTCCTCCTCCCTCCTCCTCCTCCTCCTCCTCCTCCTCCCTCCTCCTCCTCCTCGCCCTCCTCTCGCTTCATTTCCCTTCCTTTTCGCAGTTGGTAGCGCGCAGCTCGCGCCGCGGGCAACCCGGGTACCCCCGGGACCCCCCCCGGGACCCCCCCCCCCCTCGGCGGGGAAGGGATCAAAGGGAAGGGGCTTCCCTTCGACTCAACTACAACGTTGCTCAATTTCGCTGTGGCTGAACAGCCTCTTCCACACGCCGACAGAGTCGGCGGATTCCTTGACCTGGGCTACTGTTTAAGACAACACTTGCTTAACCTCGCTTGTCTGGTTCCGGCTTGCGGGGCGGGGGTCCCGAAATTCACTCGCAACGTGCGACCTTGAGGAGACGGGGGGGGCAAGGAGCCGACATCCCCGTCGTGAAGCAAGAGTTTCCTAAAGCCTCTCAGTGTCAGGGGCAGCTGCCCTCATCGGCGAGAGCGTTCTGGCGACTTTGATTGTCCCGATGGGGGGTGGGGCAGGATTTGTCGCCCTAGTTTCGGCCACGTTCGCTGGGCAGCCTCTGTGCTAAAACAGCGCAGGATCCGTGTCACGGGCTCAGTGCGTCGGGGAATTGGGGATTTAGTTGCCCACAGGATCCCTCAGGCACCACACTCGCACCTTTTCCCCCGTCTTTTCTTCTATTCGTTGCCTTTGGCCCAGGCCGTGCAGCCTTTTGACTGATTGGGCATCAGGCCCTTGCTGCACGGCTCGGGTCTCAGGGGCAATAGTTCCCGGTCGGGCGGGGTCGCAGGCCCGACATCGCGTTTTGGGCCATACCCGTTGGTTTACCGGGCCAGGGTCGCCTTTGTGATCATGTGCAGCGACCTGTCGCTGGGGTTCATAAAATTTAGCAGCTACCTTCGGGTCCATTTGGGCTCGGGCGCGACCATTGCCTCGTGCCTGCCTCGGCGGCTCGCGGCACTTGTGCTGGGCGGGTGTGGCGGGGTGTGCGCATGTTATGCTCCAGTGAGAGGTTGAGGGATTGGGCCTGGATCTCGTTACCAGGATTTCGGAGGGGGCCGTTTCTCCCTTCTGCCTTTGCTCCAGACCCGGGTGCTGCATTGCTTATCCGTAAGGGCTTCGCCCGGTGCCGCCATCCCCCCTCTCTTAGAATGGGGCTTGCCAGAGCTGTGTTGGGATGTCTGGACGCTGACGTGAAGCAATGTCGGGACTTCACGCGAGGGTCAAGATCAATTTACAAGGGTTTCTGGCTTCGGTGGCGCGAATGTTAGTTAATTTGCAATGGTTTATGGTTTCGGGGACGCGAGTATCGTTTAATTTACCAGGGTTTGTGGCCTCGTGGACGCAACTAGTGTGTAATTTACGAGGGTGTATGGCCTCGGGGGCATCTACGAGGGTGTATGGCCTCGGGGACGCGGATGTGGTGTCATTTGCGAGGGTTTGCGGCCTCGGGGACGCAAGTATGGTGTAATTTGCAAGCGTTTATGGTCTTGGGAACGCGAACATTGAATTATTTTCGACGGTTTATTGTTTCGGGGGCGCGAATCTCGTTTGACTTAGGAGGGTTTATGGCTTCGGGGACGCGAGTATTGTATCCTTTGCGATGGTTTGTGGCTTCGGGGGCGCAAGTATCGTGTAAATTTACTCGGGATTATGGCTCCGGGGACGCGAATCTGGTGTAATTTACAAGGGTATGGCCTTGGGGACGCGAATATGGTGTAATTTGCTAGGGCTTATGTCCTCGGGGACGCGAATCTCATGTATTTTCACATGTCCCATGCCCCCCCCACGAATTCTGAGAACCCCCCCCAGGGCGTGATCAAAACACTTGTTTGGGGCTCCCCCCCCCCTCGCGCGGACAGCAGCAATTAACAGGAAGGAAGCAGAAAGCAGGACTGTAACAGTGGAAACGGGAAACTGCAACTGGAACAGGGAGCTGCAGTCCTCATCCTCGCAGCTTGGTGGCCCCGCAAGGGGGCCGGCGGTTTGGGAAAGCGAACAAGAAGCGAGCAAGGGAAAAACAAGCGGACAAGAAGCGAAGAGGCGAGGAACAAGTCAAGCGTCCACAGACCAGGCGCGAGGAAAAACAAGGAGGTGCGCCCATCCAGGAGGCAGAGGTAAGGAGCGAGGCGACAAGGAGAAGGGGGGAGGGGCAGAAGGAGGGGGACAGGAGGCTCATGATGAGGCGGGGGTGCGGCCGTGGGGTGTGCGCCACCAGACCCCACCGTTCGGCGCGCGCGCGCGCGTCCCCGCCAGAGACACTGAGAGAGAAGCAGAAGACTAATTGCAACTAGTGGGTCTGCATCCGAGGTCACACCGCTCCGTGACGCGCCCAGGAAAAGTAAAGCATTAGGTTTGCCCCTCCTGCGCTGGGCAGTCCTCGCGAACTGGCTGCTGCAGCAGCTGCTGCTGCTGCTGCTGCTGCTGTTAGTTCGAATCCCCGATCCCCGATCCGCCAGAGCTGCTGCTGCTGCTGCTAGCTCGGAACCCCGATCCCCGATCCGCTGGAGCTGCTGGTGCTGCTGCTGATGCTGGTGGTGGTGATGGTGGTGGTGGTGGTGGTGCTGCTGCTGCTGCTGCTGCTGCTGCTAGCTCGAAGCCCCGCTCCCCGATTCTTCAGAGCTGCTGCTGCTGCTGCTGCGCCGCCGCCGCGGGTCCTGCTCCGACATGGGGCCAGGTGCTGTACTGTAGCAGCTGCGCGGCGCTGAAGCAGCAGGGGTGCAGCGCGGTGTTCCTCCCGGACGGCTGCGTGGCGCGCCGCTCTAGAAGAGGGGGGCGGGGTGAGGCGGGCATTCGTCTCCTGGCGGCTCTGACGCTCTGCCTCCCCCCCTTCTCCTGCATCCT